AGGAGGAGGAGGAGGAGGAAGAGGACGACGACGACGACGATGAGGAGAAGAATGAAGAAGAGAAGAAGGTGGAGGATGAAGAAGAGAGGGTGGAGACGGAAGAAGGTAAATAAAAAAACCTTTACTACAATTTTTTTCTAAAAAATATCAGCGCTTCTTGGTTTTCTTTGTCCGCGTTACCACATAATATCCTGACGAATTTTTGGGGTGGGTACGGGGGTGACGGTGGTGAAAAAACCACATCATAAAAATGAAAAAAAGGTGTCCTAGGTAAACAGCACTACCGGCGACCCTGATACCTTCCCGGCGCCCCGTTCCCGCTCGCCCAGTAACGTCATACCCTCACCTCCGAAGAATCCCCGCGCTCCGTTTCCCCTCGCCATCGAGTACCCCCCGCGCCCCGCATTCCCCTCTAGCACCATGGATCAGAACCCGCCCTATACCCCTACTGGCGTGTCGTATGGAACGACATTGAATATTTTGCATGATAATTTAGGAATGAAAAAGCTGGCGGCCCGATGGGTGCCGCGATTGCTCACGTGGACGACAAACGAATGCTGCTATCAATTTCAAAACAATGTTTGGAGCTATTCAAGCGCAATCCAAAGGAGTTTTTGCGTCGAGTAGTAGGGGAACATGGGGCAAAGTGAACTGCTTATCGGAAAACTTATGAAACCAAATGATATTGCATAAAAAAAGTTATGGTAACGTATCAAAACCCTAATTCGGTTCCTAAACTAACATATTCAACTGATTCCTTAAATAAAAATATATGTTTTATAATCCTAATTTTATTTTTACGAAAAAGTATTATTTTGAGAAATTTGAAAATCACGGGGCAAAGTGGGATGTGTTGTTTAAATGACTTCTGGAAAGGTTTTAATGAAAATAGTGCATAATGGCATTAAGGAAAAGTACTTTTTTATTGTCAGAACAGAAATATAATATAAACAAAATATAATATAACAAAAGAAATATAATATAACACTATAGCTTGCGCGAGGATTTGCGGCGTTTTTCTTTTGCCTGATGCTTCAATTTAGATTCTCTTTGCAGTTTCTTCTCTTGTTTCGCTTTTTTTGAGTCTTCAGTTTCCTGAAGAGACTGTCTATATGGAGATAACGTCAGGATTGCTGTGGCACCTCTTTTTCGGGACGCTCTTGGAGCTGACTGTGCTTGCACTTTCGGAATTGGCATAATCTCTTGTAGGGTTTTTTCGCCAAATGACGAGCTTGTCGATGAGCCAGGTACGGGTGTTGGTAATTCTTCATCATTATTGGACGTTGAAGATTCCAAGATTTCAATGTCCGTGGTTGTCGAAGGCATAAAGTCAATGTCGGTAAAAATATTCAGATCTAGGGGCCAAATGCCGATTTTTTTAAATCCATTCAAAGCCGTAGACGTAGTTGCAGCTCGAATAAATGCTGCACCGAAAAGGGGAGCAATTTGGCGAATAGTTACGACTTTTCCAGGATTAGTGCGTAAAAATTTTCGAGTTTCATCAGCGTAGTATGTCATTAACGGCTTCATAAAAGAAACATCTCCAGGCTGAAGCTTGTGTGAGCAATGTGGTGGAAAGCACAAAAGTATGACTCCATTTTCTCGTGCTAAATCAATTAATTCCAGGTTCTTTGTGTGAGTGGAGTGACCATCAAACAGAAGAAGCACTTTGCGACTGTGTGAAGCGCCGGAGAATGAGATAAATTTTTTAACCAAACAACGAACAATTCTTTGGTCATCCACCCGCTTTCATGAGAAACTGCAAATGCTGATGGAGGGAGACCAATCTCAAATTCGTTCTGCATTCTAACTCTTGGAAATATCAACATTGGAGGAACAAAAACACCAGCTGCTGAAAAGCAAATTTCAGCAGTTACCGTCTGCCCTCTTTCAGCAGACGTTATTGCACCGACTTGACGACGGCCTTTCTTTGCAATAATCTTGGATTGGGCTTTAGGATTTACTGTAAATCCCGTTTCGTCGCAATTATAAATGCGATCTGGGGTGATTTCATTGTTCGTTATAGTCTCCTCTAGTAGCTTAAAAAAATTGGCAACGACGACTTTATTAAACCCCATGGCACGCGCGGCCGATGTCGCTTCAGGAGTTCTTAAACTCAGTGACGGGTTTCTTTTCATGAATCCATAAGCCCAATCTAAACCAGCTGCCGTCTCCTTGAAAGGATGGTCAATGTTATTTTTCTCCGCTAGTTGGAAAGCAATTTCTCGAAGATCGAAAATTGTCATGCCAAAGAGCTTTGCCTCCATTGCAGTCAAATATGAAACTATTTCAGCTTCTTGTTCCATTGTAAATACTGTTCTAAAACGTCCCAAATGCTTTTCAACAACAAAATTCTCATCCCTTTGTTTTTTTTGTACATAACGTTGTAAAGTTGATGAAGGGATTTTATAATTCACTGCTGCACTTGCAATGGACATTTCGTTATTAATAACGACTGAAATGGCCTGAATCATTGATTCTGTGGACCAATTTTGATGCTCCGTCCTCCTTTTATACATACGAACCATTTTCTAATGAAGAAATAGACATAAAGTTATGAAAAAGTTACCTATGTGAAGATGAATCAAAACGGAAAGGCATCCCACTTTGCCCCGCCCACTTTGCCCCAAACGCAGATTAAATAAAATATTATACGAAAAATAACCCTCAACGCCAAATGAAATAAATAAAAAACGAAAAAAGAGGGTAAATGTAAGCCTACAAACCCATGCAATTCAAATTTCAATTACATTTAATTTATTGGTACTTACAGTCAATAGAAATATACGTAATGTTTGAGTTTCTCACAAATGTAGGACACCTTGTATGAAACCTTTCCGAAGAATGCGCGGAAATTGGGAAACACTTCAAAATTTATACTAGGTCAACTCATTTGTCAACAAACAATGTAAATAAACATATAGGAACTGCTCTTATAAAACGAAACGGCAAAATCCCACTTTGCCCCGTATCCCACTTTGTCCCATGTCCCCCTAATCGTTGATGAAACATGGATTCATTACTACACACCGGAGACCAAGGTACTGCGACCGCATTCACGAGCGTGGTGCCACTTCGTCGCGCGTTCGCGAGTATTGCTCTACCTCTCTTTAGTCGGCATCTTCACGACAACATTAAAAAGCTCAACGCCACAACGGCTTTCTCAAATTTTACATACTCTAAACTTCACGTCAATAATTGGGCGCCAGGCACGAGAGAGCGTGTCACTCTTTCTTAAATCTTTTCGGTACGTTCTCACTCGAGAATACTGAGTGTAGAGACTCACGAATGCGGATGGCTCTAATAACCGACTGCTTAGCCACGACAATGGCAGAGGGGGTGGTTCGTGGTCGGGAGCGGAGGATCTTTTGGAGAACGAGTAAGACGAAAAAAACAG